CCTATGATTATAAAAAGCATCATTCTCAAGCATTATTTCAGAACAGTATACTTCATAGTGTAAAGTGATTCCTGATACCAGTATACTTCAAAGCAAGCTTCTAATCCAACTATTTTGACTGTATTCTATTGGTCTTCCTTTCTTAGTGTATTTCCATTCTCATTGTACTTGTTGGCAGGTTACACTCTAACCAGATAACTTTATTATTTGTCTAAATTGTTTCTCTCATCTTTGACTCTTTGTAATAGTAGTGTCGCTCTACTAAACTTGGGTTTTTCATTCTTTAAAAACAAAATCTTGTACTTCTCTTTTTGAGCCTTATCCCCTCCCTTGCACTTTATATTGTAGTCCAGGTACAGCAATCTCTTAAGTAATATTTTGGCAAGTGTGGGGGTAGTAAAGGGTAAAGGGTGCCAAATGTATGGTGACAGAAGATTATTTGATTTGGCGGTGGGTACATAATGCAGTATAGGGATCATGTATCATAGAAATGTATACTTGAAACCTAGATGACCCTATTAACCAATGTCAGGCTAATAAATTTAATAAAATAAAAAATAATTAAAAAATCTCTTTGCATACTATTAAGGTCTGATTTAAATATATTTTTAAAGTTTTTACTTAAGTATGGTCTCTGTACTAACATCATAAATTGTCAAAGATTGAACACTCTTTAGTGTTAATTGTTGCTGTTAGAACTTCTCAAAAACTAATGCTAAATATATATAATGAGATAATTTTAGAGAATTAATTTTAATATAATTAGTGTATTATATTTAATTTCTTAGTTTTATATTTTTCTTTTGAGGAGGGGAATTCTGGCTTTTCTAGTGTACTTTTGAAGAGATCTGAAGATCTGTCCTAGATTTTTTTTTTTTTTTTTTTTAAGTATCTGTGTCTCCTTATTTCCAGGCGGAAATTCAGAAGGTCCACTGAAAAACCGTTCTGCTTTCTGCAGTGATAAGCTAGATGAGTACTTGGAAAACGAGGGCAAGCTGATGGAAACAAGCATGGGTTTCTCTTCTAATGCTCCCACATCTCCTGTGGTATACCAGCTTCCCACTAAGAGTACCAGCTATGTACGAACACTTGATAGTGTACTGAAGAAGCAATCTACCATTTCCCCTTCTACCTCTTACTCTTTGAAGCCTCATTCTGTACCCCCTTCCTCTCGAAAGACAAAGTCTCAGAACAAACAGGCAACTTTCAGTGGCCGAACTAAATCATCTTATAAATCCATTTTACCATACCCTGTTTCACCAAAGCAGAAACATACTCACATTGTTCCAGCAGATAAGGTTACCAAGAATTCTAGCACCATCTCAGAAAATCAAGTGAATAACTTTGTTGTGCCAACGTTAGAGGAAAATACATTCCCAAAGCAAATTAGCTTGCGGCAGGCACACCACCAGCAACAGCAGCAGCAACAGGGGACTCGCCCTCCAGGCTTATCTAAATCTCAAGTGAAGCTAATGGACTTGGAAGACTGTGCACTTTGGGAAGGAAAACCAAGAACCTATATCACTGAGGAGCGAGCAGATGTATCTTTAACAACTCTGCTTACGGCTCAAGTAAGTATCTATTGTTTTCCAGTAAGTTTCTATTGTTTTCCAGAAGTATATTCTTGGCTAGAAAAAGTTACCATAGATTAGTGAGGGGAAAGGGGAATGAAGTTTTTGGGCAAAAGAATTGGGCATTTACCTATTTGAGTGACAACTAAGGCGATGTCTTCCACATTTGTTCTTTATCAACGAGATACCCAAGTGTAGTAGATTTCTCCTGTGCAGAAGGCAACAGTATCTTTGTTTTTAAGTAATGTTCTTATTCTTTTTGAAGGCAGATGGCCATACTCTAGTATGTGGGCAAGAACATTTGCTGATTTTGTTAAAACAGCTTTGAAAACCTAAAAGGAACTAAATCCCCCAAAATTCAAAAAAATTATAAACCTGTGGAGAAAGAGCTTCTGTCTTTTCAAATTTTAAGACTTTTCATTCATTATTGCTTCACCTGTCTTAGCAGCCTATAGTGATGTGAAGTGACACAACAAAATGAGGATAATTTTCTTGTCATGAACTTTTTGTACCTTATCTCCCATTTTTAAATTCTGTGACTAAATTCTAGAGCTGAAGATCATTAGATATTGGGACTAAATAGAGAAAGTGTCCTTTATAATTAATCTTTCTTAAAGACTTTTATGCACGTAGATTGTTACTCCCTTTTTTAATTACCACAGAGCAGGGATCAGCAAACTGTTTCTATATGGCATGGTAAATATTCTTGGTTTTGTGGGCCATGCACTCTGTCATAGTTTCTCAGCCCTGTTGTTGTAATGCTATAGACATTAGGAAGGAGCCTGGCTGTGTTCCAGTGAAACTTTATCTATGAAATAGGCTGCATTTGATCCTTGGGCTTTAAGTTGTCAACTTCTACCCTAGAACATTATGTGATTTCTATTGAGAATAAATTTATCTTTGTTGATATTTTAGCTCATAATTATTTAAAATATTCTCTTGCTTGCCTGTGCTATGTGTTAGAATGGGAAAATGCTCAGGGTCCTGATTATTTGTTTTCATGTTCTGTTTCTTGAATCTGCCCTAATCCTGTGCTGTTAGCGCTGAGGGCTCAGATTCTGAGAAGAAGGCAGACCAACATATGATTGTAGGTTGTTGGTGGTGTTAGGGGATGATTTAGTAGATTTACAATTTTTCTGTTTGCACTTTAGGCATCTCTCAAAACTAAACCCATCCATACAATCATAAGGAAACGAGCCCCTCCATGCAACAATGACTTCTGTCGATTGGGTTGCATATGTTCCAGTCTAGCTTTGGAGAAGCGCCAGCCTGCTCACTGCCGCAGACCTGACTGCATGTTTGGCTGCACTTGTTTGAAAAGAAAAGTTGTACTTGTTAAAGGGGGATCCAAAACCAAGCATTTCCAGAGGAAGGCTACTCATCGTGATGCAGTATGTTATGATACTTTGGGAGATGAACAGAGAGAAGAAGAGGAGGGAGTCAGGGAGGAGGAGGAACAATTGAAAGAGAAAAAGAAGAGAAAGAAGCTGGAATACAGTGAGTATTAATTGAGACTTAAAACAGTATAGTTTTATTTCTTAGAAAAGTGTGGTTATTTTGAAAACTTGTTTGAAATAAGAATACTATTTCTTACTTCACAATCCTGATCTATGATGTAATAAGAATTTTGAGAAATTCTGGATTTCCTTGATGTCTTGTTGCCTTTGCCAGATTGGGGAAGTTCTCCTTTATTATTTGTTCCAGTAAGTTTTCCACTTGCTGATGTTCCTCTTCCCCTTCTGGTACTGCTATAATTCGGATGTTGGAATGTTTAAGGATGTCCTGGAGGTTCCTAAGCCTCTCCTCATTTTTTTTTAAATTCTTGTTTCTTCATTCTTTTCTGTTTGGTCATTTTTTTCTTCCTTCTGGTCCACTCCCTTGATTTGAGTCCCAGTTTCCTTTCCAACACTATTAGTTTCTTGTGCATTTCCCTTCATTTTACTTATTTTAGCCTTCATTTGTTCTTCTAATTTGTGACCAAAATCACCCAGTTCTGTGAGCATCCTGATCACCAGTGTTTTGAACTGTGCATCTGATTGGCTATCTCTTGGTCGCTCAGAAGTATTAGCTCTAAGGCTTTGAGCTGTTGTTCTTGAGCCATAATGTTTTGATCTGTTTGTGCCTGTTAAATAAGCATGAGGAGCGGAGCCTTAGGTGTTCACCAGGGCGGGGCCCCCCAGGTTGCTGGTTTGTGACGCTGTATGTGGGGGCAGGGTCAGAGAGGGGCAATGGTGTTTGTTCTGCTCTCCCTGGATTTCGGTTCCCTCTGCTACTTCCCACAAGCAAATTGGGCCCTTCTGGTGCTGATTCCTGGGCGTGTGGGCTTGTGCACCCTCCTGGACCCTGTGGGTCTCTCCAACGAACTCTCTGGGAGCCTGGGAGCCTACCCTGGCACTTTGGCACCAATTGGTGCTTTTAGGCTTTATTTCCCAGTGCTGGGGCCCTGGTTTGTGCTGTCTCTATCACTGCTCTCTCCTCTGCCTGGTTTATCTGTGCATGAATGTGTGACCGTGGTCCGTCAGCCACCCAGTGCCCTCACTGGGTCCACCCGTTGCCACCCCACACCTGGGATCCGCCAATCACCGCCTGTGTGACCCCTCTGTGCCAGCCACTGGCTTTGCCCCTCTTACCAGTCTGGCTGAATGGTTTGTTGTTGTCGGACTTCTATACAGTTCAATTTTCTGTGTTTTGGTTGCATTTTTGTTATTAAAACTTTGTTGTCTTTAAACTTGGTTGTGCGAGGAGGTATAGTGTTTCTATCTATGCCTCCATCTTGACCTGAAGTCAGAAGTTTTCTTTTGAATATGACTTTTTTGTGCTAAATTTGAAATTTGAGTCATTCTCTTATGTGAACTTCCAGAATGCCTTTGAAACTTCCGTTTATTTTTTTGTCTTTCTCCCGTGAGTTCATCACCTCCTCTGAGTTTATCACCTCCCCTGACCCCCAGCTATATTGAAGTATAATTGACAAAATTGTATGTAAAGTATACAACATGATGATTTGGCATATGTTTACATTGTGAAATGACCAAAATCAAGTTTATTAATTCATTTTCTTTTTCTTTTTTTTTAAGATTTTATTTATTTATCTTTAGAGGGGAAGGGAAGGAGAGAGGGAGAGAAATATTAATGTGTGGTTGCTTCTCATGTGTCCCCTGCTGAGAACTGGCCTGCAACCCAGGCATGTGCCCTGACTGAGAATTGAACTGCGATCCTTTGGTTTGCAGGCCCATGCTCAATCCACCGAACTATGCCAGCCAGGGCAGTAATACACTTTTTTGGTCATAGCGTTAGATTTAAATATTTATCTTTCTTTATTGTTCAAGTACAGTTGTCTCCATTTTCACTTCACTATATCCTCCCCACCCCACCCATCTATATCTCCCACCCTTGAACCTAGCCCTTTTGGCTTTGTCTGTGCATCCTTTAAAAAATATGGAATGCTTCAAGAATTTACATATCCTTGCATAGGGGCCATGCTAATCTTCTCTGTGTCATTCCAATTTTAGTATATGTGTTGCGAAAGCAAGCACAATTTAAACTTTTTTTTTTTTTGCCACTAATGGCTTGCTTATTAATCTATTTATGCGCACAGAGGGATGCTAACATTATTTGCTATTCTTATATACCGAACACTCTATGAAGGTTGTTACATCATTTAAATCTTGCAACCCTGTAAGGAGGGTTCTTCATTTTATTAACACAAATGAACTAACTGAGTGTTTAGAGAATTTAAGATTTTCCTCAAGGTCACATTGCTATTAAGTGAGTGGTAGGAATTTGAACTCAAGCTTTTCTGACTTCTAGGTCTTCTTTTTTTTTTTGCTATTGTATAATGGGTGGTTTCTTAAATTTGGCCTTCACTCTTATCACCTGTCTACTCTTTTGTTTGTCAACAAATTACTACTGATGGTACAAAGACACTGTGCTTACTGCTGTTTGTGGTACCAAGAGAAAGGATAAAAATCTTGGCATTCCTGCTTTCTTAGCCCAGTTAGAGTTTTGTTGGGGATATATACCTATAAGTTGACTATGTAAAGAGAGTATCAGTTAAATTTATATCTATAGTCAGACCAGTTAGGATTAAAGGACACCAAAGGACACCACACAAACTACTGATACCAAGAATGAGAAGTGACATTACTGCAGACTTTAAAATGATGATATGAGAATGTTCTATATAGCTTTATACCAACAAATTGAACAACTTAGATGAAGGTTGCAAATTCTTTGAAAAACAGAAAGCATCCAAGCTCAAGAAATAAATACCTAGCAATATTCTTATGAACTTGTTTTGAAAATCCTCCAATAATGCTTCCAGGTTCAGATGACTTCACTAGTGAATTCTACATGACACGTAGAAAAAAAATAATACCCATTCTACATAAATGCTTTTTAAAAAATCCTTACCTGGGGGCATGCTTACTTATTTTAGAGAGAGAGGGAGAGAGGAAGAAAAACGTCATTGTGAAAGAGAAACATCAGTCAGTTGCCTCTCATGCATGCTCTGACCAAAGACTGAACCTGCAACCTTGGCATGCCCTGACTAGCAGTCGAACCTGTGACCTTTTGGTTTATGGGGTGACACTCCAACCAACTGAGCCACATTGGCCAGGGCTACACAAATACTTTTATAAAATGGTTTTATTCTGTGAGACTAGCATTACTTTGATACTTAAACCAGAAAAGGCAATTGTAAGAAAACTGTACAGCAATATTCCTCATGAACATATGTAAAATTTGTAAGTAAAAATTTATTAAATAAATATCAAGACCATATTTAAGGGATATGACCGAGTGGGATTTGTCCCAGCATTGCAAGGTTGATTTTGTATTTGAAAACACTGTAGATCACCATTATCATAACAGACTTTATTTAAATAAATATATTTAAAAACTGACAAAATTTATTTCTGGTAAAAAATTTTAGCACACTAAAAATGGAAGGAAACCTTAAACCTGACGTGGGATTGCTGGGTCAAAAGGCAGATGCATTTTTAATTTTTTTTGAGATAACTCCATACGACTTTCTATGGTGGTTGCACTAATCTTTATTCCTACCAGCAGTGCAAATGGGTTCCCTTTTCTCCACATCCTTGTCAGCACTTGTTTGTTGATTTATTGATGGCTAATTCTATTTTTAATTGTTTAAGGAACTGCCATACTATTTTCCACAGCAGCTAGATCCTTTTATATTTCCACCAACAGTGCACAAGGGTTTTAATTTTTCCACATTGTCACCAACACTTACTTTGTTTATTCTTTTTTATATCTATTTTATTAATATACTATCACAGTTGTCCAATTTTCTTTCTCCCCTTTATTCTCCACCCTGTACCCCTTCTCCCACCAGCATTCCCCTACCTTAGTTCATGTCCATGGGTCATGTATATATGAAATCTTTCACTTCTCAATTTTCCCATGCTATTCTTAACCTTCTCCTGTCTACTCCTCCAACTTAATCTATACGGTTTCTTTCCCCCATTCTCCCCCCTTTCCCTCTCTACTCACACCCCTCCATGTGATCTTTATTTGTGGTTCTATTCCTGTTCTAGTTTGCTTAGTTTGTTTTTGTTTTAGGTTTAGTTGTTGATAGTTGTGAGTTTCTTGTCATTTTACTGTTTACATTTTTAATTTCCTTTTTCCTAGATAGGTTCCTTTAACATTTCATATAATAAGGGCCTGGTGATGATGAACTCCTTTAACATGACCTTATTTCGGAAGCACTTTATCTGCACTTCCATTTTAAATGATAACTTTGCTGGATAGAGTAATCTTGGATGTAGGTCTTTGCCTTTCATGGCTTTGAGTGACTGGGAACTGAACCGGCAACGCTTTGGTTCACAGGCTGGCAGTCTACTGAGCCACACCATTTGGGGAAAATGTTTTATAATTTTAATTGTAATAGCCTTTATTTTTTTGGTTAATTCCTAAGGGTTTTCTTTATTATTACTGTGAATGAAACTGTTTTGTAACTTCCTTTTCAGATTGTTTATCATTCATGCATAGAAATGTAATTGATTTTTCTGTGCTGCTTTTTTTCCTCTTTTAAAAAATTTCTTTTAATTGTAGTTTAAGTACTGCTTTCTGTTTTTTACTCCCATCCCAGCTCACTGCCCCAGTGCTCCCCACCTCCCTCCCATTTCCACCCCCTTAGTTTTTATTTTATTTCTTATTGATTATGCCATTACAGTTGTTCTATTCCCCCACTTCATTCCCCTCCACCCTGCACACCCCTCTCCCATCATTCTCCCCCCTTTAGTTCATGAACACGTGTCTCAAGTTCTTTAGATTCTATATTTCCCCTACTATTCTTACCCTCCCCTCTATTTTCTGTCTACTGTCTATGCTACTTATTTTCTGTACCTTCTTCCCCCTTCTCCTTCTCCCACTCCCCTGTTGCTAACCCTCCATGTGATCTTCATTTCTATGGTTCACTCCTGATCTAGCTGTCCTCTTAATTTGCTTTTGTTTTAGGTGTGGTTGTTAATAACTGTGAGTTTGCTGTCCTTTCACTCTTCCTCTTTTTTATCTTCTTTTTCTTAGATAAGTCCCTGTAACATTTCATATAATAAGGGCTTGGTGATGATGAATTCCTTGAACCTGACCTTATCTGAGAAGCACTTTAACTGTCCTTCCATTCTAAATGAAAACTTTGCTGGATAGAGCAATCTTGGTTGTAGGTCTTTGGTTTTCATGAGTTGGAATACTTCTTTCCAGCCCCTTCTTGCCTGTAAGGTCTCTTTTGAGAAATCAGCTGACAGTCTGATGGGAACTCCTTTGTAGGTGACTGTCCCCTTATCTCTTGCTGCTTCTAGAATTCTCTCCATTTAAATCTTGGCTAATGTAATGATGATGTGCCTTGGTGTGTTCCTTCTTGGGTCCAACTTCTTTGGGACTCTCTGAGCTTCCTGGATTTCCTGGAAGTCTATTTCCTTTGCCAGTTTGGGGAAATTTTCCTTTATTATTTGTTCAAATAAGTTTTCCACTGGTGGCTGTGCCTTTCCCCCTTCTGGTCCCCCTATAATTCAGATGTTGGAACGTTTAAAGATGTCCTGGAGGTTCCTAAGCTTTTCCTCATTTTTCTGAATTCTTATTTCTTCATTCTTTTCTGTTTGATCATTTTTTTCCTTCCTTGTGGTCCACTCCCTTGATTTGAGTCCCAATTTTCTTTCCATTACTATTGGTTTCCTTTGTATTACCATTCATTTCAATTAGTTTAGCTTCCATATGTTTCTCTAATTTGTGACTAAAATCAACCAGTTCTGTAAGGATCCTGATAACCAGTGTTTTGAACTGTGCATCTGAAAGACTGGCTATTTCCTCATCGCTTAGATCTATGGGTTCTGGGGCTCTGAGTTGTCCTAGAGCCATTTTTGGTCTATTCGTGCTGTTAAGTGAGCGGAGCGAAGCCTTAGTTGTTTACCAGGACGGGGAGACCCAGGTCGCTGGTTTGTGACGCTGTGTGTGGGGGCGTGGTCAGAGAGGGAGCAATGGCGTTCCTCTCCGCTAGCCCAGCCCATCCAGTCACACTACTCGCCTTGGGATTGTTTATCCGATCGGAATTGTGCAAGCCTGTTGCCCCGCACAGGCTTCCCTTCTCACTGGTTTCTCCGAACGCAAATGCGCGTTGTCTTTGGACTCTGTATTTTCGATTTTCCGTGTGGCTTGGTTGTGATTGTTGTGAAAAATAGTTGTTCTTAGATTTGGTTGTGCACAGAGGCAAGGTGGTTCCTCCACCTACGTCTCCATCTTGGCGCTCAGTCCTTTTTCCCCTATTTTAAATCTTTAAGCCTTTATTCAACATTTTGTGTTTATGCTCTGAATGATATTAACTGTATGAGCCCTTTAGAGCCAAAGTTGTTTTTACTAGTAGGGTCTTAATGTTCAGAGCAGATATACTTCTTACAAAATTAGGTAGCAGTTTCAATTCTCTTTTGTTATGAGAAATTATTTGAATTAATTGGGAATGCTGCTCAGCCACATTTTTGTGCCTTTAGGCAAAGGTTTTGGATCTTTAACTTAGAACCAGCTACATTGTACTCTTTTAGGATTGACTAATGAAATACAGTGTTTGATGTTGGCTGGTGTGGCACAGTGGATTGAGCACCACCCTACAAACCAAAGGGTCAGTGATTCGATCCCCAGTCAGGGCACATGACTGGGTTGCAGGCCAGGTCCCCAGTTGGGAGTGTGAGAGAGGCAACCAAACATTGATGTTTCTCTCTGTCACTTCCTTTCCCTGTCTAAACATAAATAAATAAGATCTTTAAAAAAAAAAAAAGACAATGTTTGTTCCTCTGTAGCTGTTTCCCCCCCCCCCCCGGGTTGGGTAGTTTGCTTAAAGAATAAAGCCTCTTACCATAGAATTTCTGTTTGTTTTCCTTTGTGTAGAACTTCTTGACAGTGTGAATACATCTCATTTGGGTTTCAATGCTTTTCTATTGATACATTTTGGCTCCTATACTGAATTAGGCTACTTTAGAAAAAAATTTTTTTTATTTATCTATTTTTAGAGAGGGGGGAATGGGAA